CCAGCCCCTCCTCAGCAACAGGTCATCTTCTGGCAGCAGCCAGACCACCCCACAGCCATCACCACACGCGGACTTCGCGGGAGCTTCAACCGCCCCTTCGCTACGCCTCCTCCCCACACAAATCCGTGGGCTCTGTCTTCAGCCATTAGTATCAGGGAAAGGAAGTTCTATAAGGAAATAAGTTTACTTCCTAACAGCAAAGAAAAAAATAGCCAATCTAATGCTATGTTCAGATTAAAGATTTGATGTAGCCCATGACTGTGTGTTAGCTACATTTTGGGATTGTTGGGTTTTGTTTTGTTTTTTTTTTTTACTAAATTTGATAGCTTGGTACAGAAGATCAATCTACATAAGATCAATCTGAAAATACCAGCTGCATTCTGACAGAATATCAAGCTGTCTGCAGGGAAGCAGGACTCCCTGCAGTTAACGGTCATTGAAACCTTCCAATTCCATTATTAATTATTTGTAGTCACCCTACATACATCTAAGCAAACAAAAAGCAGGGTTGCCTAAGGTCAGCCACAGCAGCTGTATGTAAATACATGGCTTCTATTTACCCACACACTACAGAATGCCAAAAGCCAGGCCTACTCTGCTTCTGACTCCTCCATGGACTGGTTTGAACACACTGAGCAAATCCAAGACTTCGCTAATCCCTACCTAACACAAAATTCTAGACGCAGTATCGTACAAGACAGCTGTAGGAAATAACGCTAGGCGGGTGCTTGCACCACCAGCCTGTTTGCAAGGCCTTACAGATGCTGCCTCCTACAAAGGTTTCTGTTCAGTTTATGGGCTGATAGTTCTTAAAATGCTGTCACCGGTTTGAGTCTGCTGACGTCACTGTCCTCGTACCCAGTTATACGACCCTCAAAAACACACACCTCCATAAAGCTGAGTATCTACAGACCATGGTGTTCGCAGGCTGCGACAGCCCATCCCCACCTGAAATTAAAGCAATTCCACAGCACGAGCCTGATGAGAACAGAAACCACCGGTCCCGTTCTTCCCGCAGCTCGCTCCTTCTGTCTTTCTTTGCAAGGGTGCGCGCTGTGCAGCAGCAAGTGACAGACACAGCACACCTGAGGCAGCAGCAGCATTCCTCACAGCGCATGGCTCGGGAGCAGGAAGCGCAATGATGACTCTTCAGAAGCTGGAGTACGTATAGGAAGTTTTAACCAAGTTTCACAAACCCACGTGTTCTGCTTCAACCATTTCCTGACAAAGTTTTAATTGCTAATCTATTCTTTTCTACCGCAAATCTATCTGTCACCGAAACATCTAATCTCAAAACTATTAAGAAAGCAAGCACAGATATTTTCAAGTAAGTGCCAAAACTCAACCAAAGCACAAACTCTTTGCCTACATAAAATAATCTGGCAGTTTGATTAACATCTACTGTTTCTCTTAGCGCAGCCCCAATCAGCTACATCCTGTAGGCCAGAAGGATCTCAGTATCAGCACTTTCTTTCATCCAAAATAGTCCCAAGTACTAATTACGACAAGTAACGCTCACAAGGCCCTATCTATTCACATCAACACGACTGCAAGGCCTACAGCCTTCGTCAGTATTTTTTCTTAACTTAAAATCTCTGTGTAGAAGAGCGGTTAGCGGTTTAGTTCCTAACTTCCTCTTAGGACTTGCATCTCACAACAGCTTTCCAGCCAGGACTTCCTTCACACAACTACAGGCAGCTGACTAAAACTGGAGTTCATTCTACACCTTCACCTTTCTGTTTGAGCACTTTTGGGGGAGGAGAAAAAAAGAAAATTACCATGTCTGATTAAAACCCAATCCTTTCAAATCTGATTACAACCGCGAAGGATCACAGCCTAAGCAGTCCGCAGCTGGGCACAAGCTCTGTGACAGCCGGGCCTGGTGAGGATGAAAGCCGACAGCATTTCACCGAGTAACTCGCAGCCTGCGCTCCCCTACAGCTCCACAACAGCGGCACACGAGCTCTGCTCATCAGGTCTCTCACCAGGCGCTAGACACTGACTACGGCCCAGCACCAAATAAAAATACTTTCAGAGGAAAACCTACGTATTTAAACATGCCTCATGCAACGTGCAATGTGTGCAGCAACGCTACATTCCAAACAGTCGTCCTGCCCCTTGCATTTTTAAAGGCTGTACAAATTAAGAACGCACACAGCAAGTAAGCCACTACGCACTGGAGACAGTGTGAGAACGGAAGACTGATACGTGTCCACCACAGCTGCAATAAAGGTGACCCGCTACAGCGCGCACATTCTGCGCCAAAACTCGCAGCGAAAGCGAAGCAGCCACGCGTGGGGTTTTTTAATTTTTGCTATTTTGAGTTCTAACGAGCCAAGTCCACAGTCTCGTAGTTTAAACGTCGCCAGGCTCTAGAACACAGCGCTGGGGTACGAAAGCCCCAAACCCAGCTCAGCGGAGCCAGCCCCCGCCAGGCCGCGGAGCAGCCG